GGCTGAAGAGGCTGAAGAGGTGACTACGGGACTAGTTCTTTGATCTTGTCAGGGTCCTAAACTTGGAGCTCCATACAGTCTCCCCGACCCCAAGGTTTAACCATACGACGGGTATTTATTGTGGGCATAACTTATTTCTCTTAGTTTGGCCTTTAATTACGTTCTTCTCTCTTTTCTAATTATTATCTCCATTATAGTTTCCGCTGTTATCGCTGTTCCTGTTGTCCATAATCACTTTCCGTCTAAGTAGAAAAACTTCTGCTCAATTGCAGTGTCTAGTACTTTCGCTGTCATGTTGATCTTGATATAGTTCCACGCATTGCCCGTCGGTCAGTCGCACATCAGCTTCCATGATCCATCTGTAGTATGCTTCGACTATATCATACGAACTTGTTGATTCCATTTCGTGCGCCGCATGTAACTCGAAGATATGTTTCATTTCCCTCGAGTCTTTCCCTCGTTTCGTGATCGATATCATCACTACACCAAACCTTCACCTTCTAGGATTTCTCATCACTAACTGTCCCTGCTCCCGCCTCAAGTAAGCCTATTTTCTCTATATAGCAGCGCTACTAACTAACTAAGTCGAATCAAACAAATTAATTAATCAGCTAATTAAATTAAGGCTATTTAGTAAAGCAAATAATTAAGTTATTATTACTATAGATTTAGACGATTTAATTAAGTTAGAGGTTAACTAGAAGAAATAAAATCTAGCCTTTAGACTAATTATAATTTTTAAAAAATTTATTTTTTTAATTAAAAAAAATAAAAAAGTTAACCTAATATTACCTTTTCTAGTTACTTAAGGTTATAACCTTTATAACTTTTATACTAAAGTTAATAACTTAAGCTAGTTTTAAACTAATATCTCTATAATTCTCTATATAGTAGACTTACTACTAGCTTATTAGGTCCTATTATAATATATCTCTAAAAAAAAAAGGGTAAGTAGTTATAAATATTAATTTAGTAATACCTTTAGACTAATAAGTACTAAAATAGAGCTAAGTACTTCCTAGTAGTACTAGCCTTACTACTAAGAAGTACTAGAAGTACTAGAAATATACTTTTTATTATACTACTTAATTAATATATTTTTAGCCCTCTTACTAGGGGTTAAAAAAAGCCTATTTTTAACCCCTATATTAGCTCTTAAAAATAACCTTTTTTTAATATTATTACTAATACTACTACTACTACTACTGCTATTATTACTACTACTAATAATCCCTTAAAGCCTTACTTATCTATATACTTTTTTAATACCTTTTTTAATAGTTTACCTACCCTTATAATACCTCTACTAAATATTAGCTAATATCTTAATTACTTTATTAGCCTTATACCTTTATTATTACTTCGTAGTATTACTACTTAACTATATATTATATTAATAGCTAGTAATATATTAAGTATTAACCTTAATATAAGAGACTTACTAAGAGCTCTACTTTATATTATATAAAAGAATAGGTCTTTTATTAACGCTAAACTAATCTTAAAAAAGGGGTCTTAAGGCTATACTTCTTAGATTAGAGATAAAAGCTTCTTTATATATAAAATCTTACCTAATAATACTTTAGGTATAACGCCTATTTAGTCTACTCTTTTTTATACTAATAAGCTATATAAGTAATATATATTAAGTCTACTACTACTATAATAAAGCTAGTAATATTAATAAGTCTTTTAATACCTTAGTTATAAGTTTTATTATTAACTATCTTAAGACTTTATACTATATTACTTAGGCTAATCTTATACTTATTAATAACCCTAATAACTTAAGTTTACTTCTAAAGTGTTATTACTCTACCCCTATTATTATACTTAAGTTAAGAGTTACTTAGATTAAAGATCTAACTATAGGCTTCTTAGTTAATATTAATAACCTCTTCTTAACTTTTAATAACTAATATATTTAGTATATCTTTAATCTATTTAATTATAATATTAATAATTAGATTTATTAGTTAAGAAATAGTATAAAGGCTTATCTTAATTATATATATATATCTAAAAAAGAATAGATTAAGAAGGAGATACTTAATACTTTTAGCTAAGTCTACTTATCGTTTAATTTATAGATATCACTTAACTATTATGCTATTATTACTATTTTTAGCTACTTTATTAATAAATTAGGTAAGTAAATATAATACCTCTTAGCTCTCTACTATTAACTTAATACTTATACTAGTAAGAATATTACTCTAATAATATATATAATTATTAGTAACTTTAGGATATTTAACTAAATTAGTATAATAATATATAATANAATATTAGTAATAATAATATCTATCTAAAGGCTCTTTATCTATTTATCTCACTATATTTTACTAAAAAAGATATAGAATAATAATATATTTAATACTATAGTTATATCCTTAATCTAATAGGTTAAGCTATTATCTATAGTATTAATTAAGTAACTTTAGAATAAGAGTCTAATTATTATATTAAAACTAATAATATCTAAGAGGATCTAGTATTTTAGAGATTAAGGGGGCTAGTTAGTAAACTCTATAATATTATTAAGTATATTAGGTTATTACTATAATATATTAAGAAGTTCTTAGAAATTAATAATAAGCTCTAAAATAACTTTAATATATTTATTCTATAAGAAGAGTTAACCTAAAAGCTTAAATTAATACTAAATAATATAATAAAATAAAACTTAATATATATAATAATTTAGAGGGCCTTATTTAAATATAGCTAGATTAATAGCTTTATTCTTAATAATAAGTCTATTCTAAAACTAAAGTATTACTTATCTAATAAGGATAACCTTACTAATAAGGATTAATATATACTTACTAAGCTTAAAAATATTTTTAAGCCTCTTTATTTATAAATAAAGTGTTATAAGAGCTAAAGTAAAGGTAATAAGTATAGTTAATTTTAAGAAGTTTTTATAAGTATAAAATATCTCTTAAATAAGTTAGAAGATTAGTAAAAGCTATATAATATCCCTATAAATAAAGAGATTAAAACTATAGCTATATAACTAGCTTAAAGTTAGTTAATATAGTTAAGTTAGTATATAAGGTTATTATAGTAATCTTCTTATTAAGTAGTAGTATCCTTATAAACCTTATTAATTAATAGTATCCCTATATATACTTATACTAAGTATACTTCTTAGGATTATTAGCTTAACTATAATATTAATTTTAACTTAAAAAGTTACCTATATATCTCTATTATTAATAGCTAGTTAATATTTAATAAGTATTATACTAAACTTATTAAGTTACCTCTATATATTATAGCTATAATATTATACTTTAGGTGAGGTATATAATAGCTTAAAAAATGTTAGGATATACTTAAGATAGATATATAGCTTCCTAATACTAAGTAAGGTTTTTATAAATACTAAGAACTATAGTATACTAACCTACTTAATAATATTATTTTACTAATACCTCTAGAGGGCTCTTTTATATCTATCTTAACCTCTATTAGGCTTAAAAACTCTAAATATAGCTAATAGTTAAATAGTAGATCTTAAAATACTATTATTAATAAAGCCTCTAAACTAAATTATTATTATTATCTATTAATTACTTAACCTATTAATAACTTTATTACCTAGTAGATTTTATATTACTAAACCTTTTTAACCTTTAGTAAGCTTACCCTTAATATCTTTACTATCTTAGTAATAATAATAGACTATAAGAGGGTATTTAGCTTTATTAAGTTTATATTAATATTATAGAGGCTATTAATAATACTAAATCTACTTAAAAGGACTTAATACCTCTAGAATTAGGTTTAAGGTAGTAGTATTACTATTAGTAGCTACTTCTACCTCTATAGGAGCTAATAGTATTAAGATAACCTTAAAATACTATATTATATATATATCTAACCCCTAGAGATTTCGTAATAGCCTTACTAACTTCCTAAATAGGTAATTTTAGATTAAATCTATTAATTTAAATTTAAATAAACTAAATAGCTAAATCTACTATGAATTTTAGGCTAAATAGCTAAATCAGACCCCTCGATTTGACTTGATTAATTGGTTAGTAGCGCTGCTATGTAGCAGTCCCTACACTCCAATGAGTGCCCGGAAAGCACGATAAAGAAGTTTCTTATAGCTTCCATTGAAGAATCGAAACGTTGGAGATAACCTACCACTAAGTCGTCCACGAAATCAACGCAGTGGAGAGCACCGAAAGTCGCTTCGAGAAGACATTCTAGGAGCAGCTCAACAATCGTGAAGAGTATAATGAGAAGACAGAGTGGCAAAAAGGTCAGAATATTGAAAACATTCAAAATGCCTTGAATAATTGATATAGAGAGCCAGCAAAAGGCTCTTCGCAGAGGGTTGCTGGGAAATCGCGGTGTTGACTTGTCCAGGTCTTCATGCATCTCGCTGCTTGTTCTGACAAACGCGAAGAGGAAACTGAAACCAAGAATTACCGAAGAGAAAATAACGAGGAACATCGTAAGAGTTTCCATGTTTTGAGATCCACCCATGGTAAAATTGTGTTGAATCAGTCCGAAGTGTGATTTGACGGTTGTAGTAGTAAGGTGACAATGGGGAGATTGCCGAGTTGCAGAACTGTTGAGCCGGATTACGTTTGATCATTGAGTGAGAAGTAGTTTTCGATAGCTGTTTCTTTGAATTAGAAGCAAACGTCGTTAAGTCTGTGGGCAAGAAGTATTCGGAGATCCCTGAAGTTGACACTAAGTAAATCTGTGGCTTTACACTGCCACACAGGTACCTTGACAGATGCGCTGTCCACCGTCTGTTTCACATTGATAATCCCAATTCAGAAATAATCTTTGAGGAGGCATCATATATTGAGGTATTGGCTGACGAGTAAGAAGGCTGACAATAGATTGGTATTGCGCATGAATACCGATTGAACATCTTGGGCTTTCGGCGAACCCTTAGCATCAAATATCAATGTGACACATGAGAACCGCCCCATCGTGGTTCCCAACCAAAACAACCTTTGTGTAGTGCCTTCTCAGCACGTGTTCGCTGTACCTGTCGCCTGACCGTTCATGTTCTCAAGCTTATTGGAATGAGTCTCGTCCTGGGACTCTGTCGCCTCCCACTTAGCCTTCATCTCCTCCCAATCGCCTCCTACCAGCCACATCGAAAAGTAAAGCCAGTACGTCCAAATGACTTCAGGAACCTCACCGATAGCCGAGAGAACATTGCGCGGGGTGATATTGTGTATGAAAGACTCAGACGTGTAGAGCCGGATGCAGGTCGCCTTGAAGATAGTTGCGGGTATGATGCCGACGATGAACAGACCGACGGCAGCGAAGTAGTAGGCGATACATGGAAGGATCAAACAAGTCCAACCGACAACTAGTAAGAGCCAGCCCGTAACGTATTGAAGTACAACAGTATTTGTGCTTTCCAAGAGACCTCCAACTGCGAAGCCACAGACAACGAGAAATGTCATATAAAACAAGCCGACAATGATTAATAAAGCTCCCAGGCCAAACTGGGCCCAAGAATCGAGGTTTTCCCACACCATGGAAGAAGTTGAGAATTGTTGTAGCAATAGAAGTGCTATTAGTGCGAGCGAGGATGAGGACGTGTGGTTTGGGTAGACGTGTGGATGTTGGTTGCATTCGGCATAGATCTGGAAGGATCAATCTCGATCTTTCTGTATTTGAAGAGCAAATGCAATCATTAAATATCCCTTGATCCGCTCTCCATTCTGACGAATGACATGACTTCCTAAGAGTCTCCGATACCCAAGGTTTCCCATCTGCTTGATAAGATAGAAGGCAGCATGGGTCACGAGACGCACCGTTAGCCATCCATTAACTGTCTGCGAACCACCAAGGTCATTCAGCTTTGCCCCCTCGTTTCCTGTACCGATAGCCCAAGGTCCACCATGAGAAGCGTTCAAACGCCACGTACAGGTCTATCTGGTACACCTGTGCTGGGTAGAGTCGACAAATCCGCAGCGTTCACGGATCCCCTCTCAGAGGGCTCCTTTTGAGGTCCATGCCACCCTCCTCCAACCGCGTAAATGACGTAGTACGTGTAGTAGTCCCAGACAACAGCAGGAGGTCGTCCAGCCGCTGAGAGTAGTTGGCGACGGGAATTATCTTCTCTGTCTGTCTAAGACGGGCAGGCCAGCTTGTAGAGTACCTTGATGACGAGGCTTGACACGATGAAGACTATGAAGAAGCAGACTGCCGCGACGTAGTAGATGATAGTGGGCCACAGCAAGATTAAGTACCCGATTACGAGCAGAAAGAGGGCTGTTAAAAATTGAAGAGTGACCAAATTTGCGTTTTCGTAGTTTCTCTTCAGACGACGGGAGGCAACGAGGAAGGCCGCAAGAACGGCGATGCTGCCTAAGACAACGCCAAAAGCGACGAAACTCTCTACTTCTTTACGGCTCAGAGGCATTGTCCCAGACTCGGCTGGAAGGAATGGTTTGAAGAACGAGAATTGGGATGAACCTGACTGTTTAATTTGATCGAGACGTGAAGTGCTTGACGTCGAAGCGGCTCTCAGCTAGTGTGCTATTTAAGACGACAAATACACCATATCAACACTACCTTACCGAGAATATCGAAGCCACCTCGTGACACAGCCAACTGCCCCTTCAAACTCTATCGTACCCTGAAATGTAGGTTATGCAGGTCCTCGGGAAAAAAGGCTCTTTGAGTCCTTCATGTACCTCTCGGCATGTCCGAAAGTGGCACGCCATCGATAGATGATTTGGAAGGCGGGATTTCTCCGTTGACCAGCCGAATTGTGCAACGTTCCCAGTATTTGATGATGGCTCCTGCGGGCTCGTTGACTATGCGCAAGATATCGGATGCAGACGTGTGCAAAGTCGAAAAAAACGGGCCCCAGTGCGGTTCTATACACTTTTTGGAGGCCAGGTAGAAGATGAGACCTGGGACCAACAAGGCTAGGAAGAGGCATGCAACTACAACGTAGTAGGCGAGAATGGGGCCGATCAGGACGAGATATCCGACGAGCAAAAGGGAGGCGCCTGATACGTGTTGCCGACGAGACCTGTTCTGGCCCAGCAGGACACTGATTCTGGCGCTAGCATTGATGATCAGGCCGACGACGAAGGCAATGCCGACGATGCTGCAAACGACGATGCTCGCAATGTTGAAGGGAGTGTTCCAAGCCCAAGAAGTCCTTGCCATGGCTGCTGAGCTGTTGGTAGATTCGGTTTTGTTTTGAGGAATAGATGGCGTCTGAGATGGTTCCCTGTGTTTCGCAGGCCTTCTACAGAGAAGTTCTGAGTAAAGATGGATCTACAAGGACACGAATTATGGCACTCGCGAACGCCGGCATTTAATTTTCGACAGTGGTGGGCCGTTGGGATGCTGCCTTGAGAGATGCGCAAATCGTTCCTTTGATGGCCTGAAGGCTAATTGCCAGTTTCATTTTGCAGCAACCTCGTTGGCCTGACCCTTTCAGCCCCAGTATCCATCTTTCCAAAGCTCCTTTCGATATCCCTCGGTCAGTCTCTCGTCCTCACCGTAGACCTCTTGCCAGCCAACGAAGCCACGGTCGAGGACATAGACGTCCTGTGGCTGGGTGCTCGCTTGTTCCTCGGATGACCCTGAAGGCTGCTTGGAGGCGAGGACCTGGTCACGTTCTCTGAGGTAGCGAAGGGCGGCGCTGGGTCCACGCTGCTGGGACAAGGCGCAGTGGAAGATGACGGTCTTCTTGCCTTCGAGGCGGCGAATGAGGGTGGGCATCATGGCTTCGAGGGAGCGGGAGGGCATGTTGATGCAGCCCTTGATGTGACCTCCGATGTAATCTGTACCAAGCCGAAAGTCAGCGGTGCCTTTGCGGGTGGGTTGTGGATGGGAATGTCGAAAGGCCACACGCACCATCGTCACGGACATCGACGACAGCCACCGAAGGGTTGGCGGCAGCCTGCTCCGCCAGCAACATGGTGGAGAGCTTGTCGGCAGTAATGCGCTGAAGGGTTCCGATGGTCGCCATTGTGCGTTGGAATTGTAGCATACGCGTCGGGAAGACGTTCATGGGGGAGGAGGATTCCGAGCTGCAGTCCTGACGCGAGGTTGGAGCTTGGTTTTGGCGGGGAGCTCTGACGCGGGGCACCTTTCACAGTGAGAGTGTTATCGCCTTAACCTGCCCCCCCCTGCCGCGTGGGGAATCCTGGCTCGCAGCACCTGTGACCGCGACGCCAGGCTTACATAAGCATACGTTCGCCTCTGCGTGAAGTGGCTTGATTAATCTAGCTACGAGCGCTGGGCGCGCCTAGCTATAAAGTGGTGTGGCTGATCCCTTACATAAAGGCGGGATTCAGGCTGGGGTTTAGGCCTTAGGCCTAGGCCTAGTTAACTACTATCTTATACCCCCCTTTTAGTTAACGCCTCCTACGCCCTATAAAGCTATTCCTATCCTAAAATAGTAATTAGATTAATTATATAACTATTAGTTTTATTTTTAGCTATCTCCCTTATACCTTCCTTTTTATATTAACTTTATTATTTTATCTTACTTCTTAAAATACTTTTAATTCTTAACTTTTAGTTATATACTAATTATAATATAAAACCCTTACTAACCTTAAAGTAACCTTAATATAAACTTAAACTATATAGTTTAGTAGTTTAATTACTTCTAAATTATATAGACTTAAATTAAAAAAGCTAATAACTTAACTTTAAAGCTTTAAATTTAAATTAGATTTATAGTAATTAGGTTTAGTTAACTCCTTAATATTAGTTAAATAATATAAATTTTATATTCTATAATTAAACTTAATATTTTAAAATAAGTAGAGTTTATAGATTCTTATAAAAATTAGTTCTAAGATATATTAATATTTTATATAAACTTAATTAACTAGAATAATTATTAGAAGATATTATAAAGTTTAGTTCTCTTTTTACTTTTATTCTAACTTATACTTTTAAAATCTAATTAAAATTAAATAAATTAAATTTAAGTTTATATCTCTTTTAGTAGTTAGTATTATTATATTTTAATATAGATAAATATTAACTAAAATATCTAACTTAGTAATAAAGTTATAACTTAATAAAGTTAAAATCTTTAATTACCTTTTAAGCTTTTATTATTAAATAACTTCTTATATAGGAGACTTTTATAGTTAGTAATTTAACTATTAAAAAGAGCAAATTAAGGTAATTAAAATAATATAAAATTTAACTATAAAAGTTAATTAGTTAGTAAGATATAAAGGAATAAAGTTATTATATATAAAAGAAATAAATAAGTATATAAAACTTAATTAAGATTAAGTCTTAAGATATTATCTTTAGATTAGGACTTATTATTAGTTATAAGTAGTTTAGATAAATTTAGTATTCTAATAAAGTTATAATATTTCTCTACTACTAGTAGTTTAGTAAAGCTATTAATAACTATTTTATAAGTTAAGATATAATTAATCTTAAAATCTCTATTACTAATATTATTAATAATCTAATAATATTTAATCTTAATATAGTATAGTTTAAATAACTATTTACTTAATAAGTAATTATTAAGAGTATTTATAGAATCTATATATATTTAGAGGGGTAGGTAAATAAAGATATTTATCCCTTTAAAGAGATTTATAATATATAGTAGAGCCTTCCCTCTAGGTATTAGATTTATCTACTTAGCTTTATAAATTAATATAGTTATAAATAATTATAGTATTAATTTCTAAGTAATTAGTACTCCTCTATATATAACTATATAGCTAGCTATTAACTTACCTATTTTTTTATAATTAGATTAACTAATATTATAGAATATTAATAATTTAAAGTTATTAATAGAATAACTTAAACTACTAAAATAGAATACTAGTTATTATAAACTATAGAGATATTTCTATATTAATCTTAATAATTTATTATACTTTTTAGAGGTATATTATTAATCTCTAGTAACCCTACTTATAAGTATTATAATATTTAGTTATATATTATTTATAATCTACTATAACTTACTTAGATTATTTTAATATTTATATATCTTAGTAAGTGTTTTATATTATTTTATAATCTCTAGTAGCTAAGTATTACTAAGGAGGTAAGGAACTTAGTTATATTTAGTAATACTTTTCTCTATTAATATATTATTAATATATTTAGTTTATAAGATTTAGAGTTATTTTATCTTCTAGTAGTAAATAATCTTAAATTTAAGAAATTATTATACTTTACTTAAATCTTTAATCTAGAAGAAGTTATATAAGTTATTTTTAAAGTTATTAACTTATTTAATATTAGGTATAGTAATAAATATATTATTAATATAAAATAATATTATAATACTATCCTTATTAATAAGAATATAAGGTTCTTTTAGGAGTAGATTAAACCCTAATTACTTAAAAATAGTAATAATTTACTTATACTAGAGAAGAGGGGATTCTCTTAGCTTATAGAAAACTCTTTTTAATTTATAGAATTAGCTAGATCTATTATTAAACCTATAAGGTTAGATAATAAAAATATTATAATCTCCTATAAAGATATTTAGGAAAGCTATAACTATATTAACTTAGTAAAGTTCTAAATCTTTAAGTATTATAATTAGTAAAAAAACTTATAGAGTAATAAGATTAGTAATAGTAATATAAACTATCTTACTATCTTTATTTTAAAAGTTACTATAAATAACTTATCTTATTCTAACTCTATTAAGTCTTCTATCTATAGTAACTTTTTTATTATATACTTATTTATCTAAGAGATATTTAAAGCTATTTAAAAGCTTTTTAAGTTACTAGTATTTTATCCCTTATAAGCTATTAACTTAAATCTTTATAATATTAAAGATAGTTAACTTTAGAGGTCCTTCTTTTATTACTTCTTATTTCTTAAAGGTTATAGGTAAGTAAATCTCTAAATTAAAGGCTTATAATAAGTTAGATACTAAAAAGGTAAAAATAACTAATTCTTAGTTTATTTTATTATTAATTAAGTTAATCTCTATAGCCTCTATCTTACTAAATTCCCTATTAAACTTCTTTATATTATATAGTACTTAAATTCTAAATATCTAAGTTATTTAAGTAGAAAAAGAAGTAGTTACTCTTAGTAATTTTATAAAGATAGAGCTTCTATTATTACTTTTTAGTTTTCCCCTCTATTTTCTTTATATTAAGTAAGGAGTTTAAAGTAAAATACTAAGAGAACTTTATTATTATAAAGTATCCTCTAGTAGTTATTATTATTAAAGAATAATAAGAGATCTCTACTCTAAAGGAGTAGTAAGAGAATATTACTCTAGAGGAATATATTAATTATTTTATTATAAGGGAGAAACTTCTTTTAGTATTAATTATACCTATATATTTATAGTACTAATATCTAATACTAATATATATAGTTTTAGATCTAAGGTTAGTAAACTACCCCCCTTTTTACTAACTTCTTCTTATTCTTAAAGAGGCTTATCTTCTTATTCTTATTTATTATTACCCTCTAATTCCTAAGCTTCTTCTAGGTATAAATTATCTACCTCCTCTTATAGTAATTCTTATTTAGTAGAATAAATATAATAATATAACTTTATATTTAAATTATAAAGCTAAGACTTAGCTTTATAAGTTATAGTTAGTAGTTTATTATTATATTTATAAGTTTCTAGCTTAACCTCTTCTCTTAGCTATAAGTTATTAAATTTAACTAAGGGGAGCTCTTTTTTATTTTTTTTAAATATTATATCCCTTACTTACTAAATACTATTAATCCTTTTAATAAGAATATAGAAGATATTACTATAGAGGCTATTATATCCTATAAATCTTCTAAATTTAGCTTTAAACCTTATTTTTTACCTTTTTATATATAAATAACTATTTAAGTAAATATAGATATAAGTTTAATAGCTTTAGTAGTAGAAATAATATATATATAGTTTTCTTATAGTAAGAGATATATTAAGGGTATTTATTAGTTTCTTATAAGAACTAATATTACTCTTATTATTAGATAGTAGATTACTAACTTTTATAAAAATCTTTATTAACTAGAGCTAAAAGGATTTAAAAAGGCTAGTTTCTATATATATTACTTATACTTTTTACTATATAGCTTTATTAAAGCTTTCTACCCCCCTATTTTACTAATAAAAGTAAGATATTACTATCTTTAAAATAAAACCCTACTCTTAAATAAAAAGCTTTATTACTTTAAGAAGAGCTATATTATTATCTATAATAACTTTAGAGAAATAAATAATACTATTTATTACTATAATCTTTCTTAAAAACTAGCTTTATAGCTAAATAGTTATATTTTTCTTTAATTTAAATACTTAGAACTATCTATAATTTAAGAAAACTTCTATAATATAAAAGCTATAAATAACACTTCTAAAGCTTTATAGTATTAGTTCTAAGAAGTTAATTTAGAGCTTCTAAAAAGCCTAAATTAGTTATTCTTATTATCTATTACTAAGTTATTATATTAATTTTACTATAAAATAGATATAATACTTATATCTTATAGGAAGTACTCTAAAGAGGTTTATATTAATATCTCTTATAGTAGTAATAGTTACTTCTCTAGATAGATACTCTAAATAAGTATAAAAAGTTTAGTAATCTAGTCTAAGAGAGCTAAATTTATTACCCTAGTTAGAAGGATAGATCTAAAGCTAAAGGACTTATATATCCTATTTAAAGTTAGTAATAGTTTTAGACGTATCTTTATAAACTAAAGTATTATCTAGACTATTAAAATAGATATCTATTTTCTAAAAAAGACTAATACTAATAATTTATACTATATTATAAGGTTTATAGAGGGTATTATATAATTAGAAAGTAGTCTTTTTATTATTTAGTTTAATAATAATTACTCTAGCTATATTAATAACCTAGCTAATTTAGTCTTTTCTACCTATATAGTTTATAGTTAATCCTTAAGGGAGATCTTAAAGTTCTTTAAAAATAGAGAGATTATTAAGAATATACCTATTAGTATTAGTATTTAGTATAAAGGAGTTTATCCTCTTAATAGAGGCTATAGATATAATATATTAGCTTA